TTTTTAATTTTTATAAAACTTAGTATATAAGGGATTTTGGGGTCGCTAATTAGAGATCTGAAGTCAGATTTTAGAAATTTAAAATGACATAGAAAATGTCGGACAAATTAAAAAAAATTATCTGATTTTTATAATAAGTTTTTTAAAAAAGTAAAAAAAAATTTGACTTTTATTAAATTAAAATAATAATGTTATTTGTCCGCCATTCTGGATATGCAGTATCACGGAAATTTTTTTCCTAAGTATATTCGGAAATCATGATGTTCGTTAGATGTCCTCGGATATCGCGAGGACATTTAAGGGATCTTTTAATTTCTAGATATAATTGGCGCAAAGAATAAAATTTTGAGCCTATGTTTGTACTTTGTTATATGAAATTGACTTTGTATCGGTCTAAGCATATTAAAAATCGTAAACTTTACAGGAGATAGAAAACGACAAATACTGTTTCTATTCTTTTTTCTCTCATGAAAATATTACTATTTACGTTTTATAATTTTCATTATCTGTTGGTCTTATGATTTCCAATGACTTCATAAAACCTTGAATCTGATGTTAACATTTTGTCTTTTGAAGTTGTCTCTAATTTTAAAGTAATGTTTCTGGTATAAATATTAGCTACTTTGGAAACAAGAGGTAAAGTTACCAAATTAGTCATAAATTGACCCCTCACAATTCGCATATCAATTCTATCATTACTTCATAAGGAAATAGCGGACACATTTTCCAAAAATGATCATATCTGGTAAAACAGCCAGACAAGGGTATTTTTTGGTCGTAGTTTCCAAAAATGTTTGACTTTTTGTGTGTGGAAAATAGTGTCGGACGGTATTACAGAAACACTTTAACTTGCTATAATTTTAAACTGTATTGAGATTAATTGCTGTTCTACAAATTTTTAATTTTTTGGGATGAAATAGAGGTGGTTTTTAAAATAAGTGGGTTTTAAAGGATACATCAATCTGAAAATAATGTATCTATATCAGTAGAGCTCTTAGATTGAAAACACAAAAAACTAAAAACAGTTTATATCCTGTTTTACAAGTTTTTGCTTTAAGGGATAAAATAAAAGTGGTTTTTAAAGGTGAAATGAAGGGTTGCAAATCTTTATTAATTAAGGAACATTATATTTACCTTGTAAAAGCATTTATTTTCAAAAGGTAGACAGTTTTATCATTTATTAGTTTTTTTGTATAGATTTTTCACTTCTAGAGATGAAATAGGGTAGGTACATTTTTTTAGGTTGTTTTTTCCATGAATTATGGGATTTATATTTGCAAATAATTCATATGAATAATTTTTTAACATTAGATTATTCGTTCAATTAATTTTTTATGAATGGCTCTATTTAGATACATGATCAAAGAAAGGGATGATTTTACCCCTTTCTCCACATGTATAGGGTGGATGAGTATTCATTTCTTACTCTTTATGAAGTAATAAGAGAATTGATATGCGAATTTTAGGTTCCCTGTCGGGTCTAAGAATGGACTATTTTTAACATTGTCCTTTGCTTATTTTCGTTATCGGCTAAATAGGACTTAGTCATTTTATGAAATTTTCCTAATATTAGACAGCTATAGTGTAATTTTATATCATTGCACTATGTGCATAATTAACAGTTGCATTTTATGAAATGACTAAAAATTTTAGACACATAATGAAATAAATATTTATTACACTATGTGGCTGCGTTTCATGAAATGTCTAGATATTTCATGAAATATCAGATTACACCAAAAGGCTACGACATGTCTTCACACTGTCAAAATTTTTCGCTTCCCACTGCATGGGAAGTCTGATCACCCGCAGCTAAGGTTACCGGTCTGGGTGGATGAACTACCCAAAAATTAGGAAGATGACAACTGGGAATGTGGATCTCCCAGTATTGGGCAGATGGATCACCCAGTATGGGAGTGCAGATAAACCAGTTTTGTGGTGGCGCTGACGCTTCAGTCTTGAGTTGACTACTCTACGGTACGCAAGGACATTACAAAAAGTTTTGTATCATCATTACTAGTGAAGATAAAACCTTCACCAAATATTGATTTTAAAGATCATAAGGATGTACTTGACTTAAAGGATACCTAAACATTTTGTTTAAAAATTTGTAAATGGTATTTGAAAGCATATTTTACATTTGAAAGAAGTTTTTAAAAATAGTTTCTATGGCAATTTTTAAGAAAGATATGATTATTTGTTTAAATTAAGGAGACTTTTTTCCACTGTTAGTAACTTAAGAACAACTAACTTTTGGAAAAAATTGTTAAGTTAAAAAATGTGCCTTCTTGAGTGTAGAATTAGTAAAAAAATATTTAAACATTAAACAAAAATTTTGTTCTTAATTTTTTTATCTTTACTAGTAATGAAGATGCGAAACATTTTGTTATGCCCTTGCATGCCGTAGGGTGGAAAAATCCTTATGAGCTGCACTATGATGACAATAAAATTATTTTATCCTTTTTTTAAAAAGACATTGCGAGGAAAGATCAAATAGATCGAAATAGAAAATGAGAATTGATAATGGGAAAAGTGAATATGAAGGCGAACTCACATTTTTAAATGAAATATAGTAACTTCAAAACTCACTTAAACTTAGGAGATATAGCTACATTCGCTCTTTTCAATATCATTGAACTTGCAATTTTTATTTAATTTTAGAGAAACTAAATAATAATTTTAATAAGTTTAGATTAATTATAAAAAGCAATACAAAATTAAATAAAAGGGACATTAAAATGTCAAGAGTGCACAATCTTTCAATAAATTTAAAGATTAATATTGATGAAATTAGTAGGTATCAGTTTCCTTCTATAAAGACCAATTTTTCATCTTTGTGTACTTTTAGTATAAAAATAATTTTTTATCCCTTAACACAAAAATTACGCTTTTACGTAGGGGAGACCGGGGCTAAACCGGACGCATTTGGTCTTTGACCAGAAAACTTATACAAAAAAGTATTTTTTGCTAAAGAGTATTATACTACAGTAGCTTTGGTGATATATTGCTTCGAAGGTGACTACCTCAAAAACGAAAATCCCAAAATTGGTGGAGCTAAACCGGACACCCCATGGGGCTAAATCGGACACGGCAAATTAATTAAAGAGAGAGACACAAATTTTCGTTTTTTTGTAGAAAATTCAAATTAATTCTTTATTTATTTATTTGTATGTAGTTCTAAACAAAGAATATAATATAAAATGTAAAATAGGTAATTAATACAATATAAAATGAATTATAGTTTTCAGACTTGTTTCATTTCCGCAGCTTGCTTACTAATTCGTGTTCTAAAATGAATTCTTTATTTATTTATTGATAAAGTGTTTCTATGCAAAGAATATTATATAAAATAGGTTTATAATATGAAATAAATTATAGTATTTGCAAATTTGATTGTTTTTTATCACGACGTCCGATTTAGCCCCACACCGTCATCTAATAATTAACCTGCAATAAGTTTTTTCTTCTTAACGTTTTCCATCAAACTTTTTTTCTACTAAACTCAGTACACCTTCAGCTAATAAAAAAATTGCCATATGATATGTGCACTTTAATTATAACTATAAAAACAAAAAAAAATAAGAAATTTTTTTTTTACTTTTAGTGCGAAAAACGTTATTTTTATATATTAATGGCAACTATTATTACAAGAAAAATGACATGTCTCTAAAACCTCATGCAATATATGGATCACGAAATAGTGCGTTGACAGGTTATTTACATTATTTAAAATTCTTTATGGTTTCGGAAATATTTGACTTGTCCGGTTTAGCCCCAGTCTCCCCTACCTGTAAACGTGGCTTAAGTAATTTACTTGTGCAACTGTATGAAAATAGTACCCATGAATATCAAGTATAAAAATAACGGCACTTATAGAGCTAAGATAATACTCCTAGATGCGGCGAAAGGCTGTGGAGGGGACTCGCGATGTATATAGCATACTACATATGTATACCACTATACATATATAGTGATACTTCCTTCTCGGATTTAAAGGTTTTGGAACTTTTTTAAGAGTTACGAAGTTGCAAGTCCACATGAAGTCTACATGAAGATCACAACCCGACCCTAGATTTTAGTGGAGTAACTAATGCCTCACCGTATCTAAATGTATTACCTTAGATTATAGTAAACGATATAGGGTGCAGCCATGTTATTTACGTTAATTTATGTTAACGTTTGCAAGGACTTGTTCACTCGTGCTGCTAATACCAACAATAGATATTGATAGATAATTTTTTAAAAACCAAAACGTTTGTTATAATAGTTAACTGAATTTTTGCTATGTAAAGTTTTTTGAAACATTGTGACATTCTTGTACACAAGTCATTTTTTAAACATCATTATTTTCCTAGTCTTATGTAAATTTGAAATAAATACAGAAGCTTAGTACAAAATTAATATTACACCAGTAGTAGATTTATACTTCGGCGTAATTGTTACTAAAATTTTTTATAGTACTTGCTAACTTCAAATAAAACGATAAAGTAGGACTATTGTTAATTGAAAACTCAAATTAGGTATATTAAAGGTTTTCAACATTCAAATCTTTTTATTTTATTGCACTAATCATATTTTTAAGCATGAAAATGTTAACATATTTTAATACATCTAGACTAGAAAAGAATATCGTCTTTTTCGAAAACTTCTTATTTAAAGAATATTCAAATACATTAGGAAAAGCTTCATGTCAGTTATAGCCTTTGAGATTGAAAGGCTATCTCTCAATCTCAAAGGCTATGACTGACTTGAATTTTGTTGTATAATTCTTAAAACATAAATAGTTATTAATTTACATTCAACCCCATTAACTTTTTATATCATGTCAAGGTGAAATATAAAAAAAAATTCCAAATATTTAATGCACTTGTATAACTGCAGTTCATCACATTTCAAAATAAATGACTTTCTGCATGCACCTGTTCACAAATTATATAAAGCACGTAAACAATTCCTGCATGTTTTTCATATCCTCATACGTAACCCTTTAATTTTTCTAGTTATTTATGGCTAAACAGAAGATTTCATCTGTACAGAAGAAAATTCAACCTTGGAAATTGTACATGATGGTCACTGCCCTTGTAGTAATTGATATTATCATCTTGGGCTCTTGGCAGGGTCTGGATCCCTTGCAAAGGAAAATAGAAGAATTTGCATTAGAAGCTCCATTACTTGGAGATGATGATGCCAGAATAAGGCCTTTACTAGAACATTGTGAAAGTGAATATAATAATACTTGGTTTGGTAAGTTCAAAATATTAAAATATTTTACATCATGTACGTAAGTTTAAAATTTTTTACTTGTTATGGCAAAAGTCGATTTCCATAATTGTATTTTCTTGGAATTTATTACTTGTAGGTTTTTGAGGTTGTTAATGATAAGCCGAAAGTTAGATTTAAAAAATTAAAACTGTCGAATTTGAATTGGCGTCCAAAATGTCTAAAAATGAGTGATTTTGAAAATTTTAAATTCGCAATTTTTAAATTTTTAAATCTAACTTTCTATTTGTGATTAGCAACTTTAAAAACCATAAAATAACAAATTCAAAGCACGGTGGTCGTCAAGCACTTTTAGGTTTACCTAAAATAAGTCAAAATTGTGCTAACGCAGTTTTATCTGGAATCGGTCCAAGATTCCAAATTTTCATTTCCAAAAATCGTAGCTGACTCTTTTTTCGAAAAAAATATATATATATATATGAATAATTCCACGTGAGATTTTAGTCGACCTCTTAAAATCGGCCAAAAATATTTTTTTCTATTCTGTATCGAAAAAAAACAGATACGTATTTTTTTATTTTTGTTTAATTGCCCAAATTTTCGAGTTATGAATTTTCGAAATTTTAGACTTGTAATTGTAGACCTATATTTAGTAGCTTATAAGTCCGAAAATATTGATTTTAGAAAAAAGTTGTCAAAGAATGATAGTTTCAGTTAGATTTTTTTATTTTATAAAAATTTATTCATAGGGGAGGGTGGTCCCATACCGACCCCCTTATGTTTCTTGAAGATGGTACCACTAAAAAATTCGTCAGTACCATCAGTCGAACACTTTCACAACACCAACAACTGGGCCACAAGTTTTATCAATTCGTTTGATTTTATTTTGAAGATTCAAGCAATATTAGATTTTAGCATTGTTTAAATTAATTTTTGACCTATACGGAATTCGAGCTAACAGTTTTTTTTTAATACAGGAAAATTTTTACGAAATTAATTTTGATTGTGTATGACCTTAACTTCAACGTACAACATTCAAATTAAATTGATTCCATTGATATAAGTGATTGGCAAAACATTTTGTGAAAATAGTGGGGGTGGTCCGAAACCGACCCCCATATTTTTACATTGTAATTGTTTATTCTCTTCTTCATTATTGTTCACATGAAGTGAGGATAGGTTTTGCATATTTACTTTTATTTTTTAGGAATTTATAAAATATTTTACTAACAATCACAGCACTTATTACTTAACTTTAATTTTCTTTTGGTTAAATATTTTATTCATTGTCGGTTGTAAAATGTTCTTGACAAGGCGATATGAATTAAGAAAAGGTGTACTTTTCGACATCTTTGGAAGCAGTTAAGTAGGAAAACGAAAAAGAATTAATAAAAAAAATTCGTATATATTTTACCAGAAATAGGGCGATAATTAAAACAGGCAAAACCATTGCTGCTATTATATTGGAAATTTAGACACTGTTTAACAATTTATATTTATTATCATTTTAAAAAAGGCCTTAAAATTTATTTAAATAAAGTAATAATATTAATTCAAGTTTAACTATGTCTACATAACTTAAAGACATAAATTTTCGCTTTTTTCGATCTTTTATCAGAAACCTCTTTTCAATCAGAAACCTCGGCAACCTTCAGAAAACATTGAAAAATAGTTTCTTTACTTAAAAAAATTTTGACGAAGACAAAGAAACACATTTTTAGCACATTTTTAGCCTTTGCACTTTAGGAGGTCGGTATGGGACCACCCTCCCCTACCCTATAATATAGTGTGGAGATTTTCCAAAAAGTCCCGAGATGGCCCTGATGTGTTAAAAGAGTTTTAAAACATTTTCGAAAATCACTTGCAAGCATCACAGTGGGATTTTTTACAATTAACTTTTTAAAACTGTCTATAGTGTATAATTTTTAATCTATTTGAGTGTTCTTTTTTTTAAATTAAAGGATCTACGCTGTGGACAGTTTTAGAAGTTAATTGTAAAAAAATCCCACTGTAATGCTTGCAAGTGATTTTTGAAAATGTTTTAAAACTCATTTAATACATCAGTCCCACCTCGGGATTTTTTGAAAAATCTTCTCTATATTATAAGGAATAAATAAATTTAAAAAAAACCGGACAAGTGCGAGTAGACTCGTACTATAACCAAGGGTTCCATATCCTCGTTTAAAACTTCTACTTTTTTGCTGAAAAAAATATAAAGATCAACTCCAATATTTATAGCTGTATTTTTTCTGTAATCTACAAGTGAAAATAAATAAATCATTTTCATCTCTTCAGATGAAAAACTATGGACGCTAGGGTAAAAAACACGCTTTTTTGACGAAATTTTTAAAAAACTTTGATGTTTTCACTTAAAAAATATGAAGATAAAATCCAATCATATTCGGTGTATTTTTCCTGAAATCTACACATGAAAATACATAAAATAAGGAAAACTGTAGTCCAATAGACCAAGAATTTCTAGTTTTTCGCAAAGAAAAATATAAAGATGAACTCCAATAATTTTTTCTGTATTTTTTCTGTAATCTACACGTGAAAATAAATAAAAAATGCCCAACGCCAGTCCACTAGACTCAGATTTAAGAGAACTAGCATAGGTATAATTATTATCAAAAATTAAAAAAAAAATAGGTTTTCGCTCAAAACGCATTGAAGATCAATTCTAATCATTTCCACTATATTTTTCCTGTAATCTACACGTGAATATACGAAAGTGTACTAATTTTCAGCTCTCTAGGTAAAAAACTATGAGCGCTAGAGTGAAATACACGCATTTTTGACGAAATTTTTAAAAACTGAGTTTTTCGCTGAAAAAATATGAAGATCAAATACAATCATGTTCGCTATATTCTTCCTGAAGTATACACACGAAAATACATAAAATAAACAAAACTGCAGTCCAATAGGCCAAGAATTGTGAAAACCAAGGGGGGTACACAATTTTTTTTCTAAAACGAAATTTTTTTTTAGTTTATCGCAAAAAAAAATATGAAGATGAACTCCAATAATTTTTTCTGTATGTTAGTTGAAATCTGCACGAAAAAATAAATAAAAATGTATAACGTCAGTCCACTAGGTTAAGAATTGTGAGAACCAGCAAGGGTTAAAGAATTTTTGAGCTTGCAAAAAGAGATTTTAGTTTTTCAATGAAAACACCATGAAGATCTACGCTAAAATCTACGCTAAAAAATACATAAGTATGCTAATTTACAGCTCTTTAGGCAAAAAACTGTGGGCACCAGGGGGGGGGGGTACATGTCTTTTTTGCGAAAAACGGCCAAAATTTGATGTTTTTCGCGAAAAAATTGTATGAAGATCAACTCCAATCACGTTCGCTATATTTTTCGTGTAATTTACGCGTGAAAATACATAAGTGTACCAATTTTTAGCTCTCTAGATGCAAAACTGTGAGCGCTACCCAGTGAGAAATTTCTCACCGGTCCAATATCGGTCCAATATTGGGAGCCAAGAGACCGATCATCGGTCCAATAAAGGCTCCCAATATTGGACCAATATGGGCTGATGCTTGGGATGTAACGGCATCGCCAATCATCGGTTGTCAATATTGGTCCAATATTGGCCGAATATTGGCAACCAAGAGAAAAAAATTTTTTTAAATAATTTTTTTTTAATTAAATAATAATAATAAAAAATTAATGTTTATAATTTTTGTTTAATTAAATAATAATAATAAAAAATTAATGTTTATAATTTTTGTTTAATATATTTATTTGTTTAAATAATTTAATTATTTGTTTAATAATTTAAAAATTCAGCAGCTATTAGAAAATAGCATTCTGAAAAAAAATTCTATCATTGAAAAATCAATGATAGGCGAGAGAAATCCGCGTCTTTAAATAGATTCGCAGATTATAGACAAGAGATATCCGCGTCATTAAACGGATTCGCAGATATACTCTGGTCTCGCGACGAATCTCTCGATACTTATATACACTGGAGTCGCCGTGTCAGTTGCGAGAACGGTTACAGCGTCCCTCTTTCGGCGGAGATAAGAATTGTCACGTAAACTGCTAAATCGCTTTACCGACCGCCTTATTATACCCGCAGTTTACGTGACAATTCTTATCTCTGCCGCAAGAGGGACGCTGTAACCGTTCTCGCAACTGACACGGCGACTCCAGTGTATATAAGTATCGAGAGATTCGTCGCGAGACCAGAGTATATCTGCGAATCCGTTTAATGACGCGGATATCTCTTGTCTATCATCTGCGAATCTATTTTAAGACGCGGATTTCTCTCGCCTATCATTGATTTTTCAATGATAGAATTTTTTTCAGAATGCTATTTTCTAATAGATGCTGCATTTTTAAATTATTATAATTTATAAATAATAAATTATTTATTATTTACATGAATTATTAAAAATAAATAATTAAACAAATAAATATATTAATCAAAAATTATAAACATTAATTTTTTATTATTATTATTTAATTAAAAAAAATTTATTTAAAAAAATTTTTTCTCTTGGTTGCCAATATTGGACCAATATTGACAACCGATGATTAGCGATGCCGTTACATCCCAAGCATCAGCCCATATTGGTCCAATATTGGGAGTCAATCGGCGCCCATCACGGCAACCAATATTGGACCGATATTGGACCGATTAAAGTCTATTGGCAATTTCTCACTGGGTAGGGGGGGTACATGGTCATTTTCCGTAACCGTTTTAATAGGGTTCCTACCGGGTACGGAACCCTAAAAATAAAAAAATTCTGGCCAAAGTTAAAAAAAATTAATTTGTTTATAAAAAAATTTTTTTTTTAATAAAAAATAAAAAAATTAATTTAAAAAAAAATAAAAAAAATTTTTTTGTTTACATTTGTTAAAAGTCGAAACAAAACTAAAACTTTCTTTCTTTGACAACTTTTTCCTAAATTCAATATTTTCGGACTTATAAGCTACTAAATATAGGTCTACAATTACAAGTCCAAAATTTAGAAAATTCATAACTCGAAAATTTGGACAATTAAACAAAAAAAA